TTGGAAACAGCGACATAAATGCACGCCCGCAATATTAATGCTGTTCTTTACATCTTTTTACTATAGGCCAGTGCAATTATCACTGAGCACAATTAATATTTTATTGAAAACAGATAACTTTGAGATTAACAATAAACTAAAGCCCTGCGAGAAATGATATTTGACTTTATCTTTTGAGTTAACGGATTCATTATCTAATAATATGCACCTAACCTTTTTGCTGAACCCAGAATTTTGAACAAGAATTGGCCTTATTCGACTAGTGTGCATTTGGCGGTCGATGCGCGGGCTCCTACAATTAAAATAAAAGACTAATATTTTACAGGCTTGTTGTTGACTTCATGATACAATATATTTTCACTATTACCAAGGGATTTGAGGAAAATTAGATTTTCGAGCCGCCCCAATGCAGATATATTCAATGTGTAAAAACTGAAGTGTATACTAACGAAACTTCTACAAAACAAAACTGGACTACACACTTATTAATTAAAATGGCGTAGTAATTTAATTTAAATTTAAATAAAGCATGAATTCCCCATGGAATAACCGAGTAGACAAAAAATATATAACGGTAGAAATGGCACATACATACATATATGAAAGAATGCCCACAGGCGACGCACTATAGGCAAAACACGAGTTTTTTTTTCAAAATCGTAGATCTTCGCTTAGAAAAGAGATAATGGAATGCAGCATTTAACCCTTTCAAGGCAGAGGCAAAAGGTTCTCAATATGCTTTTGAACGTGCTTTTTCTCATGTTGACGTAGATATTAATCGTAGAAAATTTTTCCATAGTAAAATAATAATAAATAAAAAATTAAAATAAAAAAATAAAAATATTAAAAACAAAAATAAAAATAAATAAAAAGTACGTTGTCATATATGACAGACTCCGCATTAAAGGGTTAAATGCTGCACTTTCGTAAAGATATCAACCAGTATAACCATTTTTGTTATATACATTTTTTTGTGAAAGCTGATAGTTTACGAGTTATTAGAGTTTAAAGGTAGCTTTTCTTTTTCCAATCTGGCCACTCGGGTACAGCATCCAATGTCCCAAGAATCGAGTCTTAAGATAAAATAAAGATAAAAAATAAATCTTTCAGAAACAGTGCTAATGGTGTATTAAATATAGTGCTTTCTAGTGCAATGGGAGCCAAAATCCAAAATTAAAAAAAGTGACATTTTTAACGGTATTTTGAGGGTTAAGTTATTGTTGTTGTAACTTCTCTATAGTTTTCCTATATTACATGATCATTTATCTTCATGATAAAAAAAATTTCATTCCGTTATCTCTTTTCTAAGGGAAGATCTACGATTTTGAAAAAAAAAAACTCGTGTTTTGCCTATACAACTTTAAGTTATCGATTAAAATTTTTTTAAGCCCCCCCTTCGCCAAATCCTGGCTACGCCACTGGTTAGGAGACGAAATAGATAAGTAACGTAAGTTTCACTTCTTTAGTGTGGCCCAGGCGCACTTACTTTTTTTAATTATTCCGCCATTTTGAATTTTAAAAATATTTGATCATGTTTGTTTGTATTCTTGTTTTCATACGAATCGAAGCTCATGAAATTTTCCTATCATTTTCTATACAAAAATTTCAAATTTTCGATTCGTACGAAAACCAGAATACGCCCCATTATATTTTACGAGGATTTTTCGATCAACAAAAAGTTAGAGAAAGGCTCGTAAACGATAAAACAAAAAAATACGCGAGAAAGATTTGTCAGCACAAGAAAAAGTTTTAATTTTGTTGGAAATTTTTCTTAAACGACAAAATTTTATAATATATAATATTCGCACACGAATGCTTTTTCGATCCGTTTACGAATGTTCGTAGGCGCTCCACAATTTCAAGCGAAAAAGTACTCGAAAACGAGTCGTAAACAGCTATTTATTATAAACGACTTCTTATCCGGGTTTTCTTCGAGAAAATATCCAGTTACGAGCTCGTTAACGAGATTTTGCTTGCTAGGATATAAAAATACATACATAAAAGTTTTAGTAAGAGTTTGAGATTGATTTCATATATCTCTATGGAAAGTTCCAGTACTCCACCATGAACACTTCTAGAGATACGCGGTACGAAAAATTCGGTTGCTATATCCAAATTATTTTCAACCTTCCATTCTTGGAAAGTCCGAGGTAGGTGCGCAGAATAAAAAAAATAATAATAAATAAAAAATCGGTCAGAACTTTTAAAATACATACATACATATAATGTGTATAACAACCTTCTCTGTACACTTCCCTACAATAAAAAAACCCAGTGCGTGTAGTCCCTACGCGCGGAAGAAGTGAAACTTAATAGAGGAATTTCAGAAAGAAAGAAATGTGTGATATACATACACATGTACATATTTTCTAATACACTAAATACATATTTATTTTAATTTTTTTAACGAGCTTTAATTTTTTATTTTTTATAACCAATTGCTAAGTTTAATTATTATTTTTGGCTGAGAAAACATGCATATCTACAATATTAACTAGTAGATTGTGGTAACTAAAGTAAGATATAATAAGTTTTATTTCAATATTATTCATATTTCTGCATCAATGGTAGTCGCTAATTTGGTTGTTGGAACATATCTACCAATAACCATTTCCAATGAAAAGTTTTCTTTCACAAATTTTGTCAGTTCATCATACATGTATTCGGCCAGCGAAAAGTTTACGTTGAAATCTCCTGCGAGAATTACAGGTCGATCATAACAGTCTACTTATTTTTATATTCATCTTCATCTTTATCTTCATCTTCATCTTCATCTTCATCTTCATCTTCATC